TCTGCCCTCACTTGAGTGCTGTACACTTTTCCACTAATAAATAAATGCAACAAAACATTTTAAAAGATTCATACATGGGTTAATAAATACACTGCTTCAGTTTTATTAATGAGGAACATTCCATTGTAAGAATGTATCACAGATTATCTGTTCAAAGTCAGTATTATAGCTATGTTATAAAACAAATTAATTTTTATAAGTATGAAATATTCATCGGGTCTTTTAAATGTTGATTTCCAATTTTGGAATTTTAAATTAAGGTGCTATAGATTAACATATACATTTTTGTATACTTGGGTTTTCATTTCATCTCATTTCATGTTGTTTTCATTTTGTACCTCAAAGTCGGATTGCTGGGTCACATGGAATGCATATATTTAGGTGGCAAACTTTTCTAAAGTGTCAGAACCATCTTGTATATTCACCAATAATGTATGAGAGCTGTGTTTGCCCTGCGTTCTTGCCAGAACATGGCATTTTCTTATCTGAAATGTTCCCTGAGCCTGTTGCTTATGGAGTTAATATACATGCCCCAGTTAGTGCTGAGCACGCAGTCCCTTGTTTTCAGAACTTTGACCACTTATTCATCTCTCCACTGACTGCTGCTCACTATATAAAGAAGTTTCTATGACAACAGTTCAGAGCAGTCTAGGTCTATGTTCATAAACACAAACACTTAGAGGGAACTTTGACAGCTTGGCCATTTAGCAACACAATAATAGGAGAGTCTACCTACGATCTCTCCAACTATGGGCTTTTGATTAGGATTTCCATACTAGGCATGAAATTCCTCCCTGTGGAGCCAGTGTCAAATCAAATCAGAATGCAGTTGGTTGACTCATAACAGTCATGCCACTGCCCATAACATTGCCATTTGTGGAATGATTATTAAGCATCAGAGCACCAGTGGGCACTTATTGCCTGGCAGGTCAGTACTGCAGTACACAGTGTCTAGCAGTAGGTAAGACTATTGAGGTCTTTTCTCCCTGAGCAGCTCACATAGCACCTCTGGCACTATGAAATACAGTCAGTAGGGAGGAGATTTCCCAGTCTGGTTAAAATTAATTTCTCTATGTCCTGTAACCAAAGTGTGTGATGTCTTCAGGAATAGGTAATAGGTTCTTACTATGAAGTTGTGGTGGGTAACCACCGGCAATGGGAATAGCCTAGGTGCTTTTTTTGAGAACTTTTGCCCCTCATAGACCAATAACGTGCATTGAAAGTATCCCGTGCCTTGTACAGTGAATTCTATTTAACAATCCAAACCTTCTGCAATCAGCACTATCCACACATGCAGGTACCTACGTTAGAAATATTTTTAAATTAAAGTTTGAAATTGGCTCACTAATTACTGGGTTTTCACAGACTCTTTAATAACACTTCACCTGTAGCTAACCAATCCATGCCTCTCCTGTCTCCCCCATCCTTCACCTCCACTCCACTTAATTCTTTCACCTTTATTTTCCTCCTACGTTTTCATATCCTGTATACTCTAGTACCTCTTCCTTTATTTTTAACATGGAAAGTTTTTATTTCTCCTTCAAATATGGTAGACAGTTTTGCTGAGTATAGTCGAGATATA